TAACGGCTTTCCAGCAGTTTATAGCTGCACAGAAGGTATTTCAAGCTAATTTTGGTACACTCAAACAAAAGCTTAGCCTTCCAACAAATGATTCTCCATTTTAAGTAATTTATGGAATCATTGCTGTTAGAGCTTATCAGAGAATCCAGAGAATCACTAGCGGGCAGAAAAGAATGTGTTCATTCTTTTCATGCCATCGAGTGGATATCTTGATTTCTGCAGCCCACATATGTAAGTGCTTTATTTTTGGCAATATGGAATGAAGAAAGCAGGGACAGTAAACCATTCAGAGGACAGAATCCAGAAAAGTTGTAACCTAATTCCATCAAGTGTTTCCCCACAATAGCATTTTGAAATATTCCTCCTGTATATCTTTTTAAAGTCAGGGATAGCAGAAAAAGAGGAAATGTCTCCTGATTATCTAGCAAAAAAATATATGGTTAATTTGTCCTGAAAGCAATACAGAAAATCATTGATCCCAGTATAAAAGTACCTGCTTTTCCACGGTGTCAGGATCGGCATAATGCTGAAAGATAGAACTGGGTTGCTCCTGTAGGGTGATGTAGGTTGTTTGACCCCAGTGGATTTTGTGAAAAACAGGAAAGTTGCCAAAGCTACAAGTCAAATAAATGCTGAAGGAACTGGAGTTGGAATATTTCAGTTCATTCATTGGCTTCTGCACTTAGCAGTGCTAAGTAGAAATAGAAATAAGTCGTTGAAGTTATTTAGAAGCTTAAGTTCTAAAAGGATGTAAGGTTTATTGAAGAAATTACATGTAAGGTTTTCATCTCTGAATTTCCCCCTTAATGTTGGGGAAATTCATAGAAAAGGCTCTATTATTATGTAGGAAGAAGATAAGAGGGGAAATCCTACGAGAATCATTAGTGGAAAGCAAAAGCAGAAATAAAAAAGGAGAGACAATCCCCGCTAAGGATTTACAGTATCTTCTGCAATCATCCAACCGTTGTTGGGATGACATAACAATTTGGACAGGTTTTCCGTCACTTCTGCAATGGCTGGGTGATTCTGGGAGGAACCATAAGAACAAAAAGAAATTGTAGTTCCTTGGTAGCTTTAATGCTCCTAGTTGGAAGCTGCTTTTACTGAACGCTTTTTGCACATCTTTAATTGTATGGGGAGAATTTCCTCATGATAGGCTTACCAGCTTGATTAAGGAAATTCATAGTTTGTTCTTTTTTGGAAAGGCTTAGAAAGATACTATTGATGATGTGATGCATCTTTCCTGGTTGAAATCACCAAATTAGTGTTTTGTAGAAGGTTGGCATACTCAACTGCTGGGCCATCCTGTTAAGGACCTTCTCATTTAGTGTCTTCAATGAGGACAGATTGAAAACAGACTCTTTAATAATATTGAAATCTTATGTGTATAACTTACTTGGTCTTGTTGGCTATAATTGAAATTAATTTGCTCTTACAAGGCAACAAAGGCATACCATTAAGAAAAACGTGGTACCCTGATGGGTATATTTCAACTGAGGAGTTGCATCTAGGTGTACATAGTGACTGATTTGGGTGATTCCATAGGGTTGGAGCTGTTGACTCTGCTTGGCTGAGATGGAGCCAAAGCTGACAGAACTTTCTACCTGTATCCACGGAAAGTGTCTCAAACGTTGAAGTTTAGTCACTCAGACTTGAGCAGCAGCATATAACAGGGGTCCCAACCCCCAGTCCGTGGCTCAGTACTGGCCCGTGGCTCCTTGGGAACTGGGCCACGCAAGCAGCGGGCAAGCGCACGAAGTTCCATTTGTGCAAGTGGCAGGCACTGGCGCAAAACCTTACCCTCTTCTCACCACTGCCGCCATTGCCACTGCTGGCTCACAGTACTGGAAAAATTGGGGACCGCTGGCATATGATATAGAGAGCTGTGCTGTGTAGGTTGGTCAGATTTGCCAAGAAACAGACCAGTGGGCTCTAAAGAGTTACGCACCTCAGCTGTATATTTAGGAGGAAGCTTAGTTTGAGTTTATTTATTGGTCTCACTTCCTGGGGGAAAAAACACAAAGAACATATTTTCAAGCCTATTGTAATTACTTTGCTGTGCATTGCTTAGAACTCTGGATTCAACATCATTCTGTCTGCTGTCTTTCCCCTTGGATACTTTGCTGGTTGACTGGAGTCCCGGTCTTGACCTATGCCAAGCCTCTTGACAATGTTTATAGATCCCTTCCTAAGATATTGGACTCCTTTCTTCCAAAAGGCAATTCTGCTTGAGCTCCTACTGTATATCACTGGCATTTGCAATTTAATTGGCTGGCAGCCAGTAGTGGCTACTACTTTCTTTCTGTCACAAAGAAAGCGACATTTATAGCTTTGCCATCTTCCCCACTATTCTTAACAGCAGTAAATATTTCAGCACCTATGCCAGCCTGGCGTACATTCACTCATGACCGAGAGACTTAAAACTGCCCCAATCCTACAAGATTAACAGTTTGACATCATTGTCTACCAGACTGGCTAGCTTTAAGCCCCTGTTCATAATGCTAAGAGGTTATTTATGCTACCACTTATATTGACCTTGCCAGTAAGAAATGTGACTTTTCATTTGCACAAGGCAAAGTCAAGACTTGTGATTGGCCCCACTGAGGAAGCTGAAAGTTGAGAAAGTGAATGAAGCTCAAAGTAAGAGTAGGGAAGTAATGGAGGGAAAACTCATGGATATCTACTCATATAATATCAGAGAACCTACCACACCACTCTGTTTCTTGTCTCAGTATTTTTAATATACGAAGTTGTGATACTATACATGTAATAACCTAGAAGCAACATCTGTGAAGCATTTCAAAAGACTACAGGAAGCTTCATGATTCATTTCTGCATCAGTTCTGCTCTGATAAAATGATTCAATCAAACCTTTGATGCATTGGAAGTCTTGCTTTAAAGTTTTTAAACAGAACAGAGCAATTTTTAAATTATGATATTTCCCTTTAACGTGTTCATGTTTACATGTTTGCTCATCACAGCCATCAGAAAAACAAAACAAGGAAGATTATTATTACTATTAATGATTACTATTAATGATGTTAATAGAATTTTACACCTCTTTTTCTTTTGCAGTAGTTACAGCAAACAACTGCAGAGAGACAATAAACACTGGAAATAATGTGAACATGGATTATTTAGTGAGAAATTCCTAGTATCAAAGATGAGGAAATCAGATTTATTTATGTAAAACATTTTAAAAGCTTTCAATAAAAAGATGTTTGTGCATTTGATAGACTTTGGAAACAATCACCATCTTCCATTGCTGCTAAAACAGAGCTCCCACCCAACTTTTGGGCTACCAGGGACCGGTTTTGTGGAGAAAGTTTTTCCATGGACCGCAGGGGGCGTGGTTTCGTTCTCTGCCTGCATTCCCGTGGATGGGGCTTCGCTTGTTTGAATGGCCCAGTTGCTGGCATGCCGTGCCCGGTGCCACTCCATAGACCAGGGATTGGGGACCCCTGTGCTAGAATATGCAAATGAAAGTTTTCTACCTCTCTGATAAATATTGTGAATTCATGTAAAAGCTACATATGCAGCCAGAATCTGAAAATAACATTTAACACAGCACGGTACTTAAGCAAAATGGCTCAGTTGAGATATGTGAGACTGATTGGGTTAGATTGTAAGGGTGACACCAATATATAATTTTATCATATTTTATCTATATCTTAAATTATTGTATTTTTAGCTATATTTTAAATTATTGTATTATATATCTTGAATTATGTCATTTTAGACTATATTACATTCTAACTTCATTTTAAATTGTATTTTATCCAATTCCATTTTAAATTTCTTTTATCAAATTTTAGTAATAATTTGTTTCTGGAACTCTGCACTTTGATATGGCCCATATCAATCAATCAATCAATCAATCAAATGTAAAAGCTACATGCATTTCGTTTATATGGTTCAATCATTTGAACAGCAAAACCCTCACAGAATTGATCTGTAACATCTGCAAACAGACAATAGGCAAGGCAGCCTCATTCATGATTCCCTTGGGAAAAGCAAATGTATTGATCGATCCTTGTTGACGAAACAACTCTGAGTGCCTGGTACAACTTTACAAGTCCAAGCACGGATAGCAACCATATTCCATGATGGTTCTCAGCCTGTGGATGTGGACCTCAGGTGTGGCTTAGGCGCAGTCTAGGTAGACATGTGATAAAACATTACAAGTTTCCAAAAGGTATGCTTAAGGAATCCCAGAAAGTGCTTGAGATGAATTGATGGACAAGCATCACTCAGAATGTCTCAATGAAACTTTTATGTTCACATTAACACCCGTGGTGAGTTGAGAACTTATGGCAAAGTGTCTGTGTATGTTCAGACTATAGGTAATCCTCGACTTACAACAGTTCATTTGGTGACCAAAGTTATGATGACACTGGGAAAAAAAAGTGACCAATGACCATACTTCACACTTATGGCCGCTTCAGCATCCCCAGTGGTCACATGATCAAAATTCAGATGATCAGCAACTGGTTCATATTTATGATGGTTGCAGTGTCCTGGGATCCCGCGATTCCCCTTTTGTGACCGTCCGACAAGCAAAGTGAACAGGTTCACTTTAAGAACCGTGTGACTCATTTAACAAGGGCCGTGATTCACTTAGCGACTGTGGTAAGAAAAGTCACAAAATGGGTCACAAAAATGCCCTTAACAAATGTCTCACTTAGCAACATTGATAAGGCTCAATGCTGGTTGTAACTCGGGGACTACCTGAACCACAGTCAGCCTGTGATTGCTCACTCCCTGCTGTTCCTTGCTCTTCAGTGGACAATGCAAACTTCTTGCATTAAATTCCTGGAAAACGAGGCCCGGGTGCCCAAAGGGCAGGCTGGCAGGACAGAAAGGGCGGGGGGTAGGGCCCTCCAGGCAAGGTTGATGTGGAAGGAGAGGGCGCCGATGCAAGAGACGACGGGGAGGGAAGGAGGTCACCGAGGGTCGGTGCGGGAAGAGGTGAGATCTGGCCCTGGCGGGGAGGGGGGCAGATGGGCAGGCGAAGTGGGCGGCGCCGGCCGCTCCTTCGTAACCCACCGGGCTCTCTGCGCTGCCGGCCGGTCCGGTCTCCCGCTGCTGACGGGTTTCTCTCGCTCGACCTGATGGTGCGCCAAGCGGCCGAGATGAACGGGCTGGAGGTCCAGCCGCCGCTCAGCGCTCGCGATCTCCTGGACGCGGCGGCCACTTTCTGCGACCCGCGGAGCCTCTTCCCGACCTCGCAGGCGCCCAGAGTCCCGCATCACGGCAGCTACGGCCTGGGCGATTCGAGCGGCGGCGGCGGCGGCGGCTGCTCCCCTTATCTGTGGCTCAACGGTGCGCCCGTCGCGCCGAGCCCTTACTTGGCCGGTCCCAACGGGGCGTCCGGCTCCTTCGTGCCCTCGGCGGCTTACGGGACGGGCGCCCGGCAGCTGCTGGCCGCCCAGGCGGCGGCGGCGGCGGGACCCCCCGAGCTCAGCTGGCTGTCCCTAACCGGCCACCAGCAGGATTTCTTCAAGCTGGTGCGGCCGCCCTACTCCTACTCGGCGCTGATCGCCATGGCCATCCAGAGCGCGCCGGCCAAGAGGCTGACCTTGAGCCAAATCTATCAGTACGTGGCCGGCCACTTCCCTTTCTACAAGAAGAGCAAAGCCGGCTGGCAGAACTCCATCCGACACAACCTCTCGCTCAACGACTGCTTCAAGAAAGTGCCGAGGCTCCAGGACGACCCAGGTAGGCAAGGCCGACTTGAAACCGTTGGCTCTTGGAGCCCTGACCTCAGGCGGGGTGAACCAGGCAGAGGCCCCTGGAACTGTCTATGGCAGAGGTCTCCAACCTTGGCAACTTTAAGACTTGTGGACTTCAACACCCAGTTGAGGAACTCTGGGAGTTGAAGTCCACAAGTCTTAAAGTTGCCAAGGTTGGAGACCCCTGTTCTATGGGGATTCTCAGTCATCCAAAAAAGGTGCTTTTTTTTTTTCCAAGAGGTGGCTGGACCCTCTGGTTTTTCTTTGAAGGCATTTGGCTTCTCATCCCAGAAGCTTCTTCAGCTCTGGTGCTCAAAGGAAAGAAAAAAAAAAAGTTGAAGATGCTTCTTGGATGAGAAGCGAAATGTCTTCAAAGAAAAACCAAGAAGTCCAGTTGCCTCTTGAAAAAAAGCACCTTTGGGGCCCCCTGGAATTCCTTCCTGCGGTTCTCCCCATTCTCTCCCTGAGAGTCATGGAAAACATTTGGGTGTTTGATTGACTGTCCTTTTCACACTAGTCAGAAGAAGGAACCTAAGAGGGTTGCCACTTCAGGTCTATGGAGAGTCTCAGTCATCCAGGTCATGGTTTGACCCAAAGGTGCTTTTTCAAAAGGCAACTTGACTTGCTTGGTTTTTCCTTGAAGACATTTCACTTCTCATCCAAGAAGCTCTGTAGCTCCCCAATGCTCTTCAAGAACAGAGAACATTGCAATAGTCCAACCATGAGATGCCTAAGGCCTGGATGACTGAATGCAGGGACTCTTTATCCAGGAAAGGCCACAACCGATGCACAACCTGAGGTTGCACAGAAACTTCATCCTGATTTGGGTGCGTATGGCAATGTTGCAAATGTGATATCCCAAACTGATACAGATACCCCAAACTGATTAATGTATGTACCACCCTAAGCGTTATGTTCTAGACATGGGGAATGTAACTTACCTGCTTGCAGTGCAGTCTTACATCTGTTCACTTAAGCCTATTTTAATTAAGGGCGCTTTCTCTTGAGTTACTGTGGATGAGATAGTAGCCAAGAATGAAAATATTGTTGGCTCCATTTCTGCCTTGCTGTTTCTCCAAGCCTCTTCACAGCAACTGATGGATCTTGCAAGGACATGTTGAGTTTATCATATGCCACTAATGTGAACTATGCAATCAAAGGGTCATTTTGAGCAGTCATCTCAGCTTATAACATCACTTGATCCATTGCTACGGTGATAGAAAATCTATCTCCGTTTTAGTGATTTGTCACCACAGCCAGTGCTGGGTGAGAGTATAAATCACAAGTGAGAAAATGGCCCAAGTGTAATGCCATGACTAAAACTCCCATAAATCAGGAAGTCCTGGACTTGAATGTCAGCTCTGCCATGAATTCTTAAGACAATGTTAAGTGATGTCTGCTGCACTTCCTTTGCCTATTGTCCTCCAATTACTTTACCCATTTTAGAATCATTTGCTTTGATTATTTAAGCCTCTGGGTTTCTATGTTAAATCCGCATGTTCTCCATTGATTTCTAGGTAAAGGGAATTACTGGACCCTGGATCCCAACTGTGAGAAGATGTTTGATAACGGCAACTTCAGAAGGAAGAGGAAAAGACAGTCTGATGCAGCCGGTGGGCCTGGAGCCCATAACAAAATGGAGGACAAAAGTAACAGTTGTCTTGTTCAGCCGAGCCCTGAAGCTGACAGCTTGGGCTCTGGTGAGCTGCAGTGCTCTCTGGGATCTATGAATGACTGCAAATCTCCCAGCCTGGACTCTAACCATTGTTTCTCCACATTTGTCTCAACCATGAACGTTGTGGCCCATGGCCGGAATGGTTTCCCCAGACAGCTTTCTGGTGGGCCGGTATCCGAATTCACACCCGGGAGGCAGAACGGGCCCAATTTGAACTCCTGCTCTCCTTCAAATAGCCTCCCAGCTTCAGCATTTGAACTCAGTTCCCACTCCCACTCCAGGATGAATTACTATGCAGGTGTTGGTGGGCAGTCAAGCTGGCTCAACAGTCCTGTCCTGAGCACCTTTAGTGTGAACAATCTGATTTATAGCAGAGAAGGGACAGAAGTTTAAACTGATGCTGAAAAGCTAGTGTTCCACATTAGCCCCATAAGCAACTGTGGATCTTCTCAGGTTGCCTTATGTACGCAGCCTTCAGCATTCTCAGTCCTATTTGGTTGATTAAATGCCATCAAGTCTTGACTCTCAGTGACCATACAGATTTTTCTCCAGGGAGATCTGTTCCTAACATGGTTTTTAAGGTCTTCATTACCAATGTGATTGTGTCCATCCACCTTACTGCTGGTCATCCTAGACCAAGGGTCTTCAAACTTGGCAAGTTTAAGACTTGTGGACTTCAACTCCCAGAATTCCTGAGCTAACATGACTGGAGGAGGAATTCTGGGAGTTGAAGTCCACAAGTCTTAAACTTGCCAAATTGAATACCCCTATCCTAGACTTCTCTTTCTGTTCTCCAGAGAGTTAGGTCTTCATATCACGTGTCCAAAATAGGATAATTTGAACCTGGCCATTTCTGTCTTGACCTCTATGAGATCCGCTTTGAAATGGTTTTATCTCAAGTAGGTTTATTCAAATGGTGATAGGGAGCTCTAATCTACTGGATACTATCCATCAAAACAACAATTTAATGGCACAGTTCTTAGAGTTCCCACAGAATAATCTCCCATAAGAATATATCATCTGTTAATTAGTAGTGAGAGATGTCATTTCTGATTTTCATCACATACCAAATATTTTGTTTTTGCTTCGTGGATCACTAACTATCTGTCTTACAACAGCTGCTTTTCTGGAAATTAAATATAATTACCAACTTGTGAGAATGGTAAATATTTCTTAATAATCAATTCATTTTCTCTTACACACACACACACATCATTGTTATCAACAACAACAACCATCTAATCTTTAACATATATTTGAAAGTGCATCCTATTTACTTCAGACTTTTCAAGGAACTATGCAAAAATCTTTATAATTTCATTTAATGTTCCAGCATCCAATCATTTAGTATTTTTCTTTACAAGCTCAATATTGTGCCTTATCATGGACTAAACTCCTCAGGTGTTTTTTTTTAAAGAGTGCACTAACCAATAACAGAATTTTTTTGAAAATTTTATATAACAGATCAAGTTTAAGAAAGTAGGTATATTTTGAGAAAAATTGGAGACATTTTTTAAAGATTTTAAATGTATATTAAATGGATGTTGCTGACCATAAAGTGAACAAAATAAAATGTTGTCCTAATTTAATTTGTCTCAATTTCTGCTACATTTCTTACTATGTTTTGTGGAATATTTTGTTTCAAGTGAAGTCTTACAGTGTTTAAAACTCAGAACCTCATTCATGGCCATAATTGGATCTTACAAAATATAAAGTTAACAATGAAAGTTTGAAACTTAAACTTCAGTTATTTTTTACTCTGGAGGAAAACCTGTATCATGCCAACTTCTAAATAAACATAAAATAGCACTGGCTGTTTTTCCACTGAATAAACAGTCAATTGTTATATATACCTGAAATTACAAATAAATAGATGCTTTGGGTGCATCTTTAAGACAACAGCTCTGATACTAACAAATGAAGCCACAAATGGAAAGGATCAGAATGAGAAAGACCATTCAACAATTCAATTGCAAATACTTTCTTCTGCCAAGCATTAAGATGCTGCTTGACTTTTCTTTAAATAAACATTTAAAGAACTAACCCAGGTACATCTCCATCAAGCTATTGATAACCAAATGGCCTGCAGGCAAATCATTTAAGGGCTTTAATTTTATGCAATGTTTTGGAGGTTAGTTGCAGTAGAATTGAAATAAGTATTCAGAAAGAAAAAAGTGATTGCTTTTGCTCATTTGAAATCCATAAAAAGTATCAGCATTTGCTAAGAGGCTTAAACTGTGCATAAATCATAAATGGAAAAGAAAAGGCATCAGATCTGGATTTAAATCAGCTTATTTATTTTTAAAAAAAATAGGATTTATTTATAATTTCTCTATTTGCAGGAAATAACAGCAAATACATATTAGGCATATGGAAGCTAACTGAAGATGAACATCTACTGGGGATTAGCTAGTTATTAATACATGCTTGTCAGGACAGAAATTGTCTTAAAAGTATATCTCATTACTTTGGTCCTGAAATACCAGTATCTTACAACCCAAGCTCTTGCCTGAATTAACTTCCACGAATTGCAAGCACACATCAATATGACTTTCTTTTTGAAAGAAAGCTGTGCCTTTATGGGACTTCGAGGTCAGCACCTCTGTCAGTGGTGTGTTAAGTTGCATCTCTCCAATTGCAGTTCTATATTCAGAAGGCACTGCTGGTTTAAATACAGTGGTGGGTTCGTAGGTTCGTATTTGTACCTTGGAAAATTGTTTTAAAACCTTGAATTCTTTAGAGTTGGGCCAGCAGGCAAAATGTCCCAATCAGACAATCTCTAGCTATGATTGTTCTGTGAAAAATTCAGAAACAAAGGGTAAGCAATAATGCTTGATAAACAGAGCCAAATGGTTGCCAAGCAACTATTATTGTACTATGTGCTATAAAGGACTCAGACAAATGGTCCTAAATGTATATAGCCTTTTTAGACAGCAGACTGGAAACCTTACTGTCATATTTTTCTCCTACAAACGTAGACCTTACTGCTATCACCATTAAGATGGAATGACAACCTAGAGCAGGGGTCTCCAACCGTGGCAACTTTAAGGCTTGTGGACTTCAAATTCTGGGAGTTGAAGTCCACAAGTCTTAAAGTTGCCAAGTTTGGGGACCCCTGTATTAGATAGTTTCTGTCGGGTGTCATCAGACCCAAACCTATTTATTTCTTGAAGGAATATGCCTTTATAGGGAATTTGTGAGGGTTATGGATGGTAGGGAGGGGAGAACCATTTTAGCACTCAGACTTCAGTGAAGTTTTAAGAGACTCCAAGCAGAGTGCTTTTAAACCATAGAAGCTGTTGTAAAAGTGACTTACCCCTTCCTGCTGTTGTCCCCAGCATTCACTTTAAGCCAATAAAGGTGAACAAAATGAAAGTGCAGAAAATGCTCTTATAGAATGAGGTTTTCCACTGTTTAATGGGACTTTCTTTAAGGACCTATTAATGTGCTTTTTTTGCAAAATCTCAAGAAGCACTTTACAAAACTCTTCTCCTATACTTCAAAGGTGGAGAAGCAGAGTTTTAAGGCAGACTGCAGCAAAACTAAAAGCAGGTTAACTAACTCAGTTCAAGAAACCCTGGATGGATTCAAAACCTTAATCTTTGTTCTGCTAGAATTTAGTGTGGAAACTACCTTTCTAACCATTCTACTCTAATGTCGCAGTAGACAGAGGTTCAGTGGGAGCCTAGTGAGACTAGCTGTCCATTTATCTCCAGATTTAATCCTTCTTCTTTAAAGAAATAACACTTACGTCCTCTAATGTACACCTGGAGGGTCAAAGGGCAAAGGGATTCCTTTTTCAGTTTAGTTATCTTGCCAGTGGAGTTTGGAGTGCTTTATCATGTTACTGAATAAGAATCTTGCTTAACCATGTCTGGAATGCAATCTCCCAATTAAGAAAGACCTTAAGAAGTTGGAAAAACTTCTTCAGGAGAAGCAGCCACAGAAGAGCCTGTGGTGACTGCAGCTCTAAATGAACAGGAAAAGAGATATACACAATTTCCCACAAGCTGACAGCAGAAGTGTTCTCAAGTCCATTCCTGAAGCAGCCCAGCCATGAAGTAGAAGGACACTTCAGCAAAGATGAGGCTGTACTCTATCATTCTTCTAAGAAAGTTAAGGAAGTTACAAAGGAAGACCCAATATGCTTGGGCGGTTTTCCAGAGCAATCCCATGAGTCCTTGGTAAACATCCTGGAAGGAGCTAAAAGGAAATCTAATCAAACTAAGAAAAGAAGCCAGAAATAGCCAGCCATCCCTCTCTTACCAGGATGCAAAATTCAAGTCTGTGAAATGGAATGGGCTTAAGTTCCAAGAGTATTTTTTGAGGGGAGCGCAGAGTAGTTGCTCCTGTTATGGATTTGATAAGGACATGTGAGGCACAGTCCTTGTCCTTGGTTACATGATCATGTCCTTAACTCATTCCCAGCCTGATGCTGACATCAGAAAAACTTGTTTTCAAGTAGTAGTTATTGTTCAGTCACTAAGTTGTGTCCAACTCTTTGTGGTCCCATGAACCACAGCAAAACAGGCCCCACTGTCTTCCATTGTCTCCCAGAATCTGCCCAAAGTCATGCCCACTGTATTGATGACACTGTCTAACCCAGGGGTGCAAACTTGTGGTCTGCAAGCCAGATGCATCATGCGCTAACCACGTCCACACCCAGTTTAGCGAAGGGGGGAAAAGTCACGATATGTCATGTGACAACTCTGTTACATTGCGAGTTTGACACCCATGGTCTAACCATTTCAAGTAGTGCTTTTCTCCTTAAGATGACACAATCTGCCACAACTTCAAAAGAACAAATAATTTATCATTGATTAATTTTGATCCAAGATCAGGTGATTTATTGTGGATATGATATGGTGTGTTTTGGGAATAGTGGAAGGTACAACATGCCTCCTCTGGTCACTTACCAGTCTCTGCCTTCTTCATCCATTAGTTGTTTTCTGGGTTCCTTTTATTTTTATTTAGTTTATTTATTCATTAAATTATTTGCCCCATTACCATTTTGTCCCATTACCTCAATCTACTTCCATTCTACCTCCCTTTGATTACCAACCAGGTAGATGAGAGCAGACTTTTCCTGCATGTGGAAATGTGAAAGACATGCATGTGTGCTGATCCCATTTATTCTAAAGCAGGGGTATCCATCTTTGGCAGCTTTAAGACTTGAGTGCTTAAACTCTCAGAATTCTCCAGCCAGCATGAGGAATTCTGGGAATTGAAGTCAGAATATAGAATACAGAATACCAGCATTGGAAGGGATCTTGGAGGTCTTCTAGTCCAACCCCCTGCTCAGGTGTAGCCCCATTCCATTTCAGTCAAATGGTTGCCCAATCTCTTCTTAAAAACTTCCAGTGTTGTAGCATCCACAAGAAAAGTCATCCCAC